AACCTTTTATCTTACTTGAAATGTGTTTCTTAATTAATTCTTACTATCATACCTGTTAGATTTTTCTTCTGCTCTCTCTATCTTGTAACACTATGAGACTTCTTTATGATGTTTTAGGGCTTCAAACATGCTGAAAACAACATTTTCATTGTTAAACCTCAATCTTAACTCCATCGTTTCTACTTCAGTGAGAGCTTTACCTGTTGCCAAGAATGGTCTTCCGAGGAGTAGCGGTGTCTCAGAATCTGCAGGCATGTCTAGAATCACAAAGTCTGCTGGAAACACTAAGTCATCGACTCTCACTAGAACATCTTTAAGAATTTTTTATGGGTATATGATCGATCTATCCGCTAACGTTAGCGCCATCTGAGTCAGTTTTGGCTCACCTCAGTTCAACTTCCTCATCATGGACAGTGGCATCATATTGATGCTAGCCCCTAAATCGCACAGAGGATTGCTAATAGTTAGTGAACTAATAGAATAAGGAATAGTGAATCCACCTAAATCATTGAGTTTGGGTGGAAGCTTATTGGATGATTGCAGTGCACTCTTGTGTTAAAGTGATGTTTTAATTATTCTTCAACTTATGTTTTTCCGATAAAATCTCTTTCACAAATTTAGCATAAGCATGCATCTATTCAAGGGCTTCACAAATAAAAATATTGACCTGTATTTTCTTTAACATGTCCGTGAACTTTTTGAATTGGTTACTGTTCGAATCGTAGTTAAAGGGGTTTTTTTTGTTATCTTCTCCACAGGGATTGCAGATATTTTGATGCTTGTCGTTCAACAGTTTACAGTTTCAAGGAAAAGGGTTTCAAAGTTTTGTTCATAAAATTGTCATGTTTTTAGTATCAAAACTTATAAATTCTAAAGAGTTTTATTAACAAAGTATATCAAAAGTAGTTTTTATCTACCCTAACTTATACATATTATTTCAATCTTACATGTGACATCGGATCCGATTAATATCATCGTGTATTCTCTCAACATCGTCTATCTTTAGAGAGGTGTCGTGAGAAATATTACATTCATCGCTACACGATTTATCCATATAACAACCAATATAGTAAGCGTTAAATTCAACACAAAGCAACTATCGACCATAGACCAATTTCTCCAATCTATAAATTGATAGATGAATATTTTAGGTCAAGTTTCACAAAATTTATGTCTAGCGTTTTACAAAACAAGAGTGGATCATTAAGAAAAAAAATATTCATCATATATTAATTATCACTTGTTCACATACAAGATCAATCAAAATAAATACATACAAGTTAATGGTAGACTACCTCTACCTTTGATACAAGAGAAATTAGCTACCCATAACCATGGTAGTTTGCTTTACAAGTAATGGAAGAAGATGAATGAGCATCCACATTGAAGAATCGAACTCGAATGCGAATCCAACTTCTATTTGAAAAATATCACCTTTTGGTGAAGAAACGCTGAGAAATGAATTTTGGTGTGAAAAATGGGTTATATCCCCAAAAAATGTGAAAAATACATATATAGTACTTTTGGAATCTGTCAAGTTCGCCCAATGAACACGCTTTTAGGCATCTGAAGTGCCTCTGAACAGTTAAACCTCCCTTGAGAAATATCTGAAGTTTGTTGTGTAAGCAATTCTTCGCACTGTGAACGACCTCGCTACAAGTTCGCACAACAAACTTATGGTCCTTTAGCTACTGCCTCAAATCTAGGATGGTTCGTTGGTCCTTCGTTGAGACCTCGCCATAGCGAACATTTGCTACCAGTTTCCTCAGCAAACTTAGTGTCCTTTTCTTACTGCCTCTAAATTGAGAGGGTTTGCTGGGGCTTTGCCATGAGTTTGCCCAGCGAACATTCACTGCTACTTCTCGCTGGCTGTTCGCCCAACGAACATGTTGGAACTCTTCTTTTCCTTTGACTTTCTTGTCCAAGTACTTGTGTCTTACACTTTGATGTTTTTATGCCTAATTTCTGCACAATAACACACAAATCAAAGAAACCAAAGGTATTTTCAACAATATTGAAGAATAGCATGCTATCATGGAGTAAATCCAACAAAATATAACAAAAGAGTTGAAAAATGTCAATAAATAAGGATCAATTTAAAGCAAGTTTGGCATTCAAAAAACTCTCCCCAACTAAGTTTTTGCTTGTCCTCAAGCAAAGTATGCCTGTCATTGAAAACAAGAGGATTTACTCAAGCATTTAATTCACCCAATAATGGATTTATGGTTCAAATAAACAAACAAATGCACACAAGCAATGTTCACCACTTCCTAAAATCGAACAATGCAAAAGAATTTAGTTTTTAAACAAATATCATGCAATGCTTCAAATAACAACTATATTCTCATTCTTGAATCACTCTAACACTCATATTCAAATAATAATGAAGAAATAAAATGCTAATGCAACAGACATGGGATTAAAGCTCCCACAAAGCTCTGAATAATTATTGTGTTGCTGACTGGATAAGTTCATAAGTCTTCTCTGAAGAGAATACCAGAATACCGGGTCGGTTGAAGGTCAAAGTTTCTTGCATAACCCTTTTCACTCACAGGTAGGACCTAGACTTTGACAAGGTACGACATCTTATGCAGGTCGTCAGTATCACAGACTCTTAGGTCGAAAAACGACGATACATTCACCATTTCTGGTTTGGCATCATGGTCAAATGAGGAGGTCTCAACTGACTTCTCAATGAACGGTCTCCAGAGTCGTTAGTTTTCAGATCCAACATCCCCTAAACTGTCCAAAACGCACAGGATAGAATGTCTTCAAAGAAAACCTCGTATGGACGTGAATTTAATGAGGGCTCTTGCATGCCAAACATGCAAGCCCGTACTACTCTCCACACTAATGTTAGGTGTGTACTCAAGCCTGGGTATTGGGATTATCTCACAATGGAACACCCTATCCAACAACACAACAATATGATAATAATAAAGTGCAGAAGGTAAAAATGTAAATGCAATAATATACAAAAACAAAATATACACATACAACACACATATGCATAAAAATAAACACCCAAAGACATAAAATAGACAAACGCTAGGATTAACTCGCATAGGGAAACAGTTTCCCCAGCAGAGTCGCCAGCTGTCGCAACTGCGAAAAAGGGCCGACGGAAACAAACAGAAGAGTTGCCACTGAACATTATTTATCCTAAAGAGAGGGAAAGAAAAAAATCAAAGAAAACCTAAGAGAACGGGAAAGACAAGGTCATCGCAACCAAATCTCGGGTTCGGGAGTCGGTTACGCAAAGGGAAGGTATGAGCACCCCTCACGTCTGTTGTACTCAACGGGATCCACGCTTGTTGTCTAATCTATGGGTGAAAATTATCTAAAAGCTATTGCTAAATGGGGGTGAACAAAAAGAACAGACTCGATAGGACATCGTCGTCTTATGCCTACGTATTCCCTCGTGCAATGGGAAAGTCAGAGTCAACGTAGTTCGGAAAACTACGGGTGATGGAGGAAGGTTGCTCACCAAGACATCACCGTCTTGTGCCTAGGTATCCTCATCTGGTATGATAAATCAGAGTAAACATAGTTCGGGAAACTACGGGACAAAGTTGGTTAAGTATTTTTTGCGAGTGACGTTAAATCTCCATTCCAACAGTTAGGGACGATGCCTATTTGCGGTAGAACGGAAAAGTAACGTACTCTTTTCTAAAAATGAGGTTTGAAACAATCCTGAAGGATGAAAAGGTTTGAAAAACAGGTTGGTCTCGATTGCACTAGGGGCAAGAGAAAGGGGAAGTTAGTGGTTAGTGTACTCGTCAAGGATAGGAATCCCTGTGCCTGCATATCCTCATTAGGGAATGAAGAATCAGAGCAGTCGTAGTTCGGCCTACAGTTTGCGAGATCTCGATTGCACGAGGGCGAGAGAAAAGATCCCAGGCCTAGAATGCCTTAACAGAAATGGATTGACTTGGTTTAGGACGCGTACTACACTAAGTCTATGACATAGGAGCGAATGCGTCACATATCGCCCAAAGCCCAAAGGGCATACGCTAGACACTCTAGACAAGCGAGGAGAAACCCATCCCTCGTCATTTCCTATGCACCTAACGCTTGGCGCACGATACTAATCACATATATTAAGTGTTTTGAATTATGACTGACAGTGTTAGTGAATCGAATCGGGACAAATGTAACGTTAAACCGTCGTAACTCGACTTATGAGGAAAGTCGAACTATAGGATGTCACATAAATTGGTATCCGTGCAAAAACAAGATTGAGAAATGATATTGAGGATCATTCTCTGATTTAATCGTGTCGCACAGACCAAAAAAAGATGGGATCTAGTCTTAATCGCAAACATTATGTCGATTAATCGAAGGTAGCCTATCGCGATCCCAAAGTAAAGAAAATGATCCAAATGGTCATTTTCCCTAGATTTGAAATTGCGAAGGTTATCGACTTCGATAAACCGACGTTTACAAATTGAAAGACTTCATAGATCGAGGAAATTAAAATAAAATAGAAAATGAAGAAGAAATTGAAAGAGAAAATAAGATGGTCTCGGATCCATCATTATTTATCAATAGTTTGACTAGTAACGATTTTCGGAGGTCTCGCCATCGACCAAAAGGCGACAAAAATAAATAAAGATGAATAAAAATCAAAAACAAAAATGAAATGAAAACTTGGTCTTGAATTTGTCGTTTCCCATCAATAATTTGGCGTATAACAACTTAGAGGTCTCTTCATCGACAAAAACAGAAAAATACGAAAATAAATCCTCAATGATAAATAAAAATGCTAAAATCTAACTTTTAGGAAAAAAAACATATTAAAAACTTAAAAAAAAAAACTAAAATAGAAAAAACAAATATAAATCTAAAAATTTGGTTAGAAAAATATATTAACAATTACTTTAAAAACTAATTTATAAAAATACAAAAGAACAAATCTTAAAAAACTATATAAAAAAAATTATAAAAATCTCTTAAAACTAAATTAAATAAAAATCTAAAAAAACTAATATGTACATATATTAACAATCAAAGCTGGTTTTTAAAAAATTAATTAAAAACAAAGAGGGGGTGAAGTTAGCGGAAATCGCATTGCATGAAGATTTCATGTTGACGATGGAGTCGGCAGAGTCTATGAGGTCACGATAATGGTTACCGACGAGTTGACGAAGCCCCTCTTTCTTATCATCGATATGTTTACAAGTCGTGGATTCGGTGTTTCGAATCTCAACAATGGGCTTAAAGCGTAAGAGAGACTCAGCATTACGGTAACCCGTAGTGGAAATGCGATGGTCGTCGACATGAGGCGATGCCACCGAAGGAGATGAGGCACTCATGGTTGGTGGCGGTGAACGGTCGTTGGGGTTTATAGCTGTGGAGGTGGAGAGTTTTGTTGTTTGAAGGTTGTGAAGGAGAAGGCCATTCTGGGTTTGTAACGGTTGGGAAAGAGAAGAGGACGAGGATTTCGCGGATGAGAAGAAGGTGAACAGTGGAAGACGGCCGTTTTTTTAGGGTTTCTCCCCTAAAGGAGATGATGAACAGTGGACAGAGAAGGTTGTCTAGGGTTTTTTGGCGGCCAGCCCCCCTTGAAGGAGATGATAAACAATGCTCTTATACTCAGAGAAACGTGTCCTTGCTTGCTGCTTTCTTGCCCTTTTTTGTTCAATTTTCTTTAATTAATAATCTGTACTATATTAATCAATAAAACTAAACTAAACTAACTCCTGATTCAACTAATCTAACCTAAACTAATTAACTGATAATTAACTATTCTAACTTAATTCTAACTAAATAATGAAACTTAAATCTATTTTTAAATTAAATCCTAATTCTAAAATAAAAAGTTAATATAAACTAATTCTAAATAATTAAATAATCTAATTCTAATTAATTTCTAAATCTAATTTTTAAAAAAAAAACAATTCTATTCTAATATAATCTAAACTAATTAAATTCTATTTTTAAAGTCTAATTAAATTCTAAACTCTAATTGAAAAAATAATTCTATTTCCTAAATTAAAAATCTATCTAATTGTCTAAATAAAATCCGAATTAAGTTCTAATTTCTAAATCCTAAATTAAAATAAACCTAAATTAGCAAATGACATAAAAACAAATAAAAAGGGTCAAACATTAAAATGCAACAAAATTATCAGCAATGACTGAACCACCAGGAAGAGAATAACCTTTGTTCGAATTCGAAGTAGAACTTATCATTTGAACTGGTTTAAATTGTCTAAAATGTGAACAAAGCGGCTGTAATCCCGATAAATCTATTCCGGCTGATAACATGAACAATATGCGAGAAATGATCGACCTAGATGATATGTAGATGAATGCGAAGCAAAAGCCAATCAAAGTCAGAAAATGCGAGGGAAAATTTTGGGGTGCAACATTTGATGATCATTTAGTGACATCATATCAATGATGCACCCCACATCTTCCGCACTCTTTGACATTAAAGAACCATCTGCCGTAGCATCCAATAGATTTTTATAAACGGGTTGAAGTCCATTAGGAAAGATGTGAACTTGAGTCAAATCATCAAAACCATGGCCCTTGCACTTCCTCAGCATAAATTTGAATCTCTCCCAAGCTTCGTTGAAAGATTCGCTTCCTCCTTGTGCAAACACTAAAATTAAGGTCTTGACCTCCATAAATCTTGATTGAGGGAAGAATCTTTCAAGAGACTTCTCCTTTAACACATTCCAATCCGTCATCATTAGAGTAGATTAGTCAATATACCATTCCTTTTCCTTCCTAATTAAGGAATGCAGGAACAGTCTCTTAAACAAAGATTCATTTTTGAGACACTCTTGTACGAATTTTATCTCAATAAATAGGTCTTTATAATTCAATTTTTCGATCCAAGTTTTTTAGAATTTATTTTAGGTAGAAAACTTAGTTTTGTAAAAGCGTTTATTTTCTCATGCTGAGGTAATATAATTTACCAAATGAAGGTAATATAATTTACCAAAAGAGTAGCTCCAGCTAAGGTATATTGTGGGGATAAGGTATGTTGTAAAATAATTAACATTTGACATTTTAAAATGGGAGATTGTTATGTAATTTATTGTTGTGTTTTTTTTATTAAGGTTATGTGTTTGGTAAAACTATCTATAATTGATAGCTGGTAAGTGATGATTGATAGTTGATAGCTGATATCTGATAATTGATAGTTAATAAAAAATAGTTGATAAATAAATTTGAGTGATTGATAAATTTATTGTCATACTAGCCGATAAATACAAAATGACACTAAAAGGATATTTTAAAAATAATGTATTAATAAAAACATGTAAAATATTTTTTAGCATATAAAAAATTAAAGATATTATTAAAATATATTAAATTTATAATAACATTTATCGAGATACATGAAATAATAACGTTATAGTTTTAAATTCAGTTATATTAATCTAAAATAATAATAATATTCCACTAACTTATTATATATATATATATATATATATATATATATATATATATATATATATATATATATATATATATATATATATATATATATATATATATATTAAATTGAAGGATAAAAATAAATTTTTATTAAAATAATAAATACATAAATAAAAGAAAAAGTAATAAGTTAAAAACTACAAATTTAAAAATTATTTTAAAGAGCTTTTGAAAAAAATCAAAAATTAATTGAAAAAACTGCAAACCAAAAGTTAAATGTTAATTATCAAACATAACTTTTTTATTTTGTTAATATGAACTAGAAAAACTAAAAGTTAAAAGTTAAAAGGTATTTTTTTAATCACCACTTTAAAGTGCATCAAACAAGAATCATATAAATTGTGTTAAAAACAAAATGATAAAATTACAAAAAAGACTTAATTACAACATCTAAATTAATATGATAAAATTTGAATATGTAATATTGAAAATATCAAAACTATTGATTAAATATGTATTGAATGAATCAAAGATGATTTAATAATCGGAATTAAATGAACACTGTAACAACAGAGTAAAAGGCAACTCGAAACGATGACGAAAACAAAGCCACAAAATCACAAATAAAAATTTCAAAAGTATGTGAAAATTACTTATTTAAATAAATAAAAAAAAGTAATCATAGTCAAAATTGATGATTTTATACCATTATTGAAATATATTCTATATCTGTTTGAAATTCCTTTAAAATATATTTATTTATTTATTTTAAATATACAAAATTTGTTTAAAATATACTTTAAATTGGTCTAAAATCTGTTTAAAATATAAATCTGCTTGTAATCCATTTGAAATATACTTTAAATTTGTTTGAATATTGTTTGAAATTCGTTTGAAATTAATTAAAATTAGACCGAATACATTTGTTAAAAATTTGTTTGAAAGAAGTTGGAACAAAATTTGGGACAGACATTTTTAATTTGCTACATGAATTTTGTATAAGAGAAACATTTTTATAAGCAAGAATAAATATTTTATCTAAAATATGTCAGAAGTTTGCCGCTAATCTGCTTGTATTTCATCTCAAAATCTGTTTAAAATGGTAATTTTTTTATAAGAAAAAAAAAGTTAATTTCCTATTAATATATATTATTTAATTTCAGCCGGGTTATTAAATTTGATGATAAAATTATTTATTTAATAAAATTATTTTAGACTGAGATAGAGGCTGACTCACCGTCGGACACGATCCAATCCGGCTCTTTGTCGAGGAGGTTCAATCCATCAACGCATACGAAGAGCTCTCACACGTCTCCCCGCGGATTCCACGTGCTCCCCACGCGGGAACACGTCTTCAGGAAATTACTTACCTCCCGAAAGTCACGGGGCAGTTGACCTAGGGTGAAGACCACATGCTGGTCTTCCCTACGCCATGTAAGACCTGACAGTTACTCGTATTGGACCTTGCAATCCAACACAGTGCAAAGTAACCGTTGGCCCAACGCTGGAGGCATAATATAAATATCCTCTTTCACTAGAGGGTCAAATATTCAATTCTCTACACACTTTCTCTATACTTGTTCTTTCTACTTTGTCTCTTACTTTGGCATCAGAGGACCTTGCAGGTACACTCATTCCTCTTCTCCACCACTGACGAACTAAGGAGCTCACGACATGTTGCTGGTTGCTGATTTTTTTTTGATCCGGTAAGATCAGTGGCGCCTTCTGTAGGAAATTTGCTTCCCCGTTCTTCCTTATAAAGAAATCCGAGAACAAAGCATACCTCAAACCTCTGTTGATCATGGCCAGCCCCTGCAATGATGACAACATCCATGAAACTGCCTTCACCTCGTTCACCAATGACGATGATCATGATCCGAATGTGATCGTTCACGTCGAGGAGGGCGACGCCAGGGACGGATACACCGCCTCACCCTCTCTCGACGATACGACCATTAACGCCGCCCGACGCTTTGACAACCCGACTGTCTTCCAACCAATTCATGTGTCATCCAACGCCGACATGACCATGGTGGCTCTGTTCGCGGAAATCAATCAGATAAACCTGATGATCTTCCAATAGAACGAACGAATCAGAATGTTGGAAAAAGACCGACAATCAAGCTCCCCCCTGTGGAGACATCGTCACCCGAAGAGCCCTCCATGTCGCGGCAGGAACCCTTGGTATAACCTATCCCCATCACAATCACCCATTAGAAGCGACAAGGGCGAACCCCGCATTCTGCTGTCCAGGCCTATCACAGAGACTCCTCTCCCCATCGGGATGGAGAAGCCCTCGACCCTGGCTACCTACGATGGTACAACCGATCCGGATGACCATATTGAAAGCATCAATGATATGTTCAACTACAGGAACGTCCAGGGAGTCATCAAGTGCAAGCTCTTTTCCACGACCTTGAGGAAGGGCGCAATGGTGTGGTATAAAAGCCTCGAGCCCGAGTCCATCACCTCCTGGAGAGAGCTGAAGAGACATTTCTCCAGGAACTTCACCGCTTCCCGATGACACTCGAAGACGGAAGCATCTTTGGAGGTCATCATCCAAGGGAAAGACAAATCTCTTCGGGACTATATAGAGAGATTCAACCGAGAAGTTGTGCAAGTGTCTACCTCGGACAACATGAAGAGGTATCTGATCAAACGAGGACTACGGCCTTGCAATGAGTTTTCTAAAGCTGTCGAGATCAAGAGGCCTAACACACTGGACACACTCCTTCACAAGGTCCAATCATACATCCAGTATGAGGAAAAGGAGGCCGCTAACTGCATCCACGACTCGCGGAACCAAAAGAGTGTCAAAAATTTTAGACATGAAGACTCCACCGCGCCCCGATGAGGCGGCGAGAGAAGATCGGCCACGAGACTCCCGAGAGCAGAGGGGACCAGTTGACCGATTCACCGA